ATATAGCGTCCTCACATCATATTCCTTTGAGGCCAATGCCTCGCTGTAGAAATGGGCTACCAATCACCTGATTCTGTGGTTCCTAGCCACAATCTCTTTCTATGACGGAGGGGATACAACGTCCCCACATCATATTCCTCTGAGGCCAATGCCTCGCTGTAGCCCTAGGCTACTATTAACTCAATCCTCTCTTTCTCTCTCTCTCTCTCTCTCTCTATGAAGAAGAGGATGTAGCATCCTCCCATAATAAGACTTCGACAACATTCAACCTCGTTTTTTGAAAACTGTCTGCCATATGGCAAACCCAGTCTGCCTCAATATTTTTCTCTATCGTCCCCCTGTCTGCAGAGCGTCAATCCTACAGAGCTCCAACAACCTCTACCACCGTATCGTGAGCGATGAAAAACGATATGACGGGAGAAATAGTATCCGTTTAGTGGGACTCCTACCCCCACGGTCGATACTTACCGGGAGTAGTATTCGAGCGCTCTTATCTGCAAAGCGTCTTAGCGCCTGCTACGAACAAAACCGCCCCAAAATTTCTGGCTATATAAAAAAAACTTTTCTCCGGAAATATAAGTAACCGAAATATGTCTAGCTATTAGGCTTCCAACCGAAACAACCTTAAAGTATCCAATACCGAAACACATAACAAAAATAAATCATCAACTTTCCCCGTTAGTTCAAATTGAAAAACTTCAACCTCTGATAAAGACCTCTCGTCTAATTACGTGTCAATCCATCCTTCAAAATATTTTTTCACATTTTCCCTTGACAATTCTCCTATTATAGCTCTAGTATATCTAGTGTATACGCCACTGGTACCTCTTAGTCACTGATCCTTTTCATTACTTGGAGCGTTAGTAAATATATTGGAGGGAGTTCAACATTTTGCAAAACATTACAAAACAATACCATAAAAAACAAACAAAAATCCCTACCTTTTTGGCTTCTTTGATGATCTGAAATGAAGCCTGAAGCAATTTCTTTCTGTTTTTAAACAAAAGAAAAACCTACGTTTTCTTTCAATTATTTTCCAGTCAGCAATGGTTTTTATTCCATGACGAGAAATAACTTTTTTTTTAAATTGTACCCTTAAAAATTGTATAACTATTCGAAGAACTACCTAGCTTATTTTATTCACTCTAGCTTCCTCTATTCAAGGTTCACTAACTATCTCGCTTGTTGCTTTATCCCATTAATAGCTATTCAAGACACACGAAAGAATAATTCACTAAGTTAACACAAATTTACTCTAATCCCCTATATATTTATTGCTCCACGCTAATTTAAAAACCAAAAGGATTCCCCTGTATATGAATCTCGCTAAAACAAGAAAATCACAAAAATACAAACCAAAGTAAAAACTGATTTTATTCGTATTACCCTCTTCCTTAATAATACTACAGAACCGACTCTCTGGGTTCTTAAATAAGATAAAAAAAGTATCTGATCCTCTGGTCCCTTTTTCTCCTTTGCCCCTATACTAAATTCACCCTGAACTTTTTTTGGCACAATGTTACTGTATTTGGAAGTCATTTGCCAATGCTGCTGGGACACACAAATGAAAAAAAAACTATTCAAAGCCACAGAGAACTCTTTCGCTTTCTAACTTCTCAGTATTTTACAATAGTTTAAAATAAGACTTTCAAACCCAAAGTGGTTCAACACAACATCACTAGAACACTCAATATCATTTACAAATGTATAGTCAACTTATTTAACGCACCCTGCATTAAAAAAAAATATCTCTTTGAGACCTATCGGACACACCCAGTGTGTTTTGTTCACACAAAGTTATTTATCTCTCTATAAATTATTTCTTCCTGCAAGTATTAACTTTACACTTCCATCTATCCCAACGAAAAACTCAGGTTATATTTAACTTCGGTCGCTTGAACCTCCTACTTCTTCGCCACTACTATCCGTCGGCAAACGCTACAATTGTATTTACCTTATGTGTTTTACCTTACCAATGTGGAATTGGCCGCGGTGGTAGTGCGCCCGACTCACGATCGGAAGGCCGTGGGTTCGATACCCGCCTCGACCAGATATTTTTCTCGAGATAATTTATCTGGTTGAAGCTGGGATGATTCTGCAACCGTCTTAGGAATCACACGTTAAAAGGTAGGACCTCGTTAGTCTTTGGCTCGCACAAGTTTGTCAACTTCTGAGAGTTGTCGTTCGTATGGGGGCGACAGCTGATTAACGGAAAAACAGATTTTAAAACAATTTTTTTAAATTCTTCCCTACATCAACATTAGACAATAAACTCCTTGTGGCTATTTTAAGCTTCAATGTCTTTTTCCACTTCCCACTACTTTCAAAATACAAAACGGAAATTCACTAAACTACATTTTCCACTATCTATTCAACACAGAATTCTAGTTTTTTCCCAAAAAAAATTATTTCACCTCTCGGTTAACCAATGTGATCAGATTTCTAGACAAAATAAATCATCTATTTATCCACACCGCTGTCAACAGTGTAATAACGGTAGATAATAACAAAAATAAAAATCGTCTGAATTGTGGAATTTGATTTCATAACCGAGAAATCCTCGTGAACTCCCACTTAGCTGTCCTCAGTGTAACTAACATCTACGGGTTTTTATATATAAGTCACCAGTGACATAATACTTAACCCTCTCGCTATTGCCGTGTTTTTTTATTTAGATAAAATTTGGCAGCTGCTGTCACCAGATGCAAATTTCTCCACATCAAAATTTGGAAGTTAGGCAATTCCGAAAAGGCTGTAGGGTTCGTGCCGGTCGCACGAAGGCCGGTCTTTTTGAAATCTGATCATTTGGTATACCTACTTATATTATCTCTCATTATGTGGTTCCAGAACTGAATTTTCTAAATTAAAATGCTTTTCATTCACTATTCTCTTCGCGAAAGATTGACAAAAAGTCTCTTATTTGTTTTTGTTCTCTTAACTTCATCTTACTCTACGAGGATGGTGTTTTTTTTCAGTCCAAGACAAAATGAAAGTCCAAGGTTTCAAATATAAAGTATAATAAGTAAAACAACGACTCCATGGACAAAATGAAAAAAAACAACGTGTAAGATCTAATAACTAAAAAATTTAAAATTCTATAAAATAAAAGAAACTAGAACAAAGGAAATGCCACCAATTTGACCCTGCTATTTACTGCTAATTTAACCTGTTAAATAACTACACATGCGCCAAGTCAGTACAGAATACTTTTAATTTTTCTCTTACTTTATGGAGAGAAGTGTTTATAACTTCAAATTTTCGCCCTTTTTCGCAATTGTAATATCAACTCTAGCAAAACTATCAGCACTAGGAACCCAACAATATATAACCTCTTTGCAAATAGGAAGTGGACTCGGACAAAATAATATGTGAACTCTCTCTCAATATCAACTGGTTAGAAAAATGAACAAACACTCACATAACGTCTCTTTGAGTGGTTCATGGTCAACCATAGGTTCCGTTGATCCGGTGTGTCTTCAACACCAACACTTTTATTTTGAACCTCCTGTACCCAATACCGGCTTACGATTTCACTACTCCGATTTTTCCTAAATTTCGCACCACGCGCTTAGAGAGATTAACTCCCCTTCCCCAGCCTCGAAGGCTGAGGGATGAGACCCCCAATCTCGTCTCGACGGGATCCGGTGACCGAATTTATGTCTCTCGCAAAAAGTCCCAAGCCCTCGTGTCAGCCACAAAAACCTCATCTCAGCATTGTACTTAACCACAACGACGCTCGAAGGTCCGAAGGATCAATTGATCGACTCGATCTCAGTGAATAAAATAATATTTTACGTTAACCATCGCAATGGTAGTTATTACACTGTATATGGTTGGTCATAATTGACAATTTTACTTTCACTATATTTTTCACCTTTACTTCAAGCAAAGTAAGTGAGTGAACAAATGGAAACGTTCACATTTCAATTCAAATTGAGTGATTGAATTCTCTTTTTTTTTTGTGAATAACTAGTATTAGGTGGGAAAGAGAGGTTTTGGCTTTCTACTTCTCCATCTTTATAAAAAACTGTGGGAAACTTCCAAAAAAAGTAAAAAAGCAAATAATTCCAGATTAAACTACGAAGATGCATATGTGTAGATCATATAAAAAAGTCACTTTCAGACAGAAACTGAAAGAAAAAGCCCTTTTGACACAACTACCTTGATAAAATGATTAAATAGCACGAAAGAAAAACTACTTTCGTAACAACTACTTTTATATGAACAATGAATTGAACATATGGTACTCCATGGTTATATTTATGTCTAGAAATGTATAGTGTATGTTTGAGGATGCACGTATGTATGTATGCATGTATTATTTGTTTCTATCATTTATTTTACTTGTACTGTAGGAAAAGTGAGTAACAAATATAAGCGTTCATGCATCATCCTCCGAATCTAAAGTAATTGAATTATAATTATTGTGTTTGTGACTAACTAGAATATGGTGCATGGTTCCACTTATGCGTGTATGTATTATTCGTTTCTATCACTACGTTGTATATAACAAATAAACATTATTATGAAATAAATTGAAAGTAAGTTAGGATGGTCTTAGTGGGTAAAACGTTGCAGAACAATTCTCTCCAAACTTCGCCCGCAGAATTATTGTATTTACGGTAAGTTGCTCAAGTCGTATCATTATTATATTTTTAGTTTGTCATAATAGACATAGGTACATTTTAATATATCAACTGAGTCTGATACTTAAGGTATGTAAATTATGTTTTTCTTTCCAATAGTGGCATTTTTTAATTGATACGATTTCACACTCAGATCATTTTATTTGTGCTTGTCTCATCTCTTCTGTTTATCTCAACTCTCAACTTTTGAGCTACCCAAATATTGATAGCATCTCATATATTATGAATGATTATCCGTATCACTGAAAACACAATCGAAATAACAAGTATCTATTCGGGGAATTTGCACGGAACTCGACTTTTTAATCACTAACTTCCTATATTTAGAAAGAATTGAAACGCATATAAAAACACCACAAAAGAAGAATCATTAAAAATATCATTTGTTCTGGTGTTGCATTTGAAGTCATGAAGATTTTCCTGATTTGTATTCTGATATCTGCAGCTTTAGTAAGTATAAAAGTTTGAGCAACCATACTAACTATATGTAGTGATAATTATCAGTTATCTTATTATTGAATAACAGATCAAATTGTTTTCAAAAATAGAACTTCAAGTGTTTCTTCGGATAGTTAGGTATGTCGATTTATTTTTCTTTCTCTCTTCTACTCTATATGACATTTCACAGATCATGCCCTGGAACTAGTGAACATACAACTCAACATTATACTTGACAGTATAACTGCCACTCATTCAATATACTTGTTTCGAAAAAAATGTATCTCAATCGCATGAAGTACATTTTATGGAAAATTGAGGTTTATTCAAAACAGAAACATCTGTGCATGATTTACAGATCTCTTTTATAAAGATATTTTCAATATCTTGATTTCTTTCCTTTATTTCATGAATTTATTCTTTTTTCATATAATGTGATGGAGAAGTCGAAAGATAATACTACAATATTCAAATAACTCAACTGGACATAGGTATGAAAAACACTTCAATCAGTCATAACCTGTGTTGTTTATGTTGGGTAATACTAACAGTTCAATTCAATTCATTTCCAACAAAATGAATCCGAACTGTATGGCAACTATTTTTGTTTTAATGATAACCCAATGCTTTGTAATTCAATTTCTAATCAAGCAAAGTCCAGTGCCTAGTTTCTGTCATGCTTTTTATTGAGAATTTCTTCGATCTCAAGATGTTTGGTTTTCTTTCGCACTTCAGAATGTTGTACTTTCTCCAGACCTATTCTGACCTGATACCAACAAAATATATCAAAAACTTAATAAGTGAGTAGAAAAGGTAACGTTCACCTTTTCTACTCAAGTAGCAACTTTTGCTCATTGGTGACCTTGACCTTTTCACTTTCAACTTTTTTACTTATGTAGCCAGTTTTGCTCATTGGTGACTTCCTCCATTTTTACTTACAGAGCAAATTCTGTTCAAAAGTGACTTTCATCTTCTCTAGTCATAGAACAACTTTTGCTCAATGTTGACGTTCAGTAAAGGTAACGTTCACCTTTTCCACCTACATAGTAACGTTACCTCGCAAATGACTTCCACCATTTCTACTTATAGAGCGGCTTTTGCTCAATGGTGGCTTTCACCAACGGTAAGTCACAGCTTTTCTACTGATGTTCCACTAAATTTTAATGGCCCTGTATGCTCATCCATGTCTCAAGATGATCACGAGACATTACTGTTCTTGAGAGTTCATAATCTTCTCTCAGATCGTCCACATCGTAGTGATGTATTACAAAACAGGTTATTTAGTCCTAAATCAACATATTATTCTAGCCTGCATATGCACATGCTAGCTATGTGAGGTATAGTCGAAGTGAACGATATTGTGCACTCTCAAAGGCCAAAAAACCAATACATAGAAATGAACCGGCAGTCTACGTGGACTGCAGACTTGGCGGTTCGTATTGGATAATTTTTACCAACCGAGTTTTATGATTGGCTGAAGAGTCATGTTACGATGACGAATAGAAATCGAGGAAACCCGGAATGGTTATCACTGTCGTGTTAAGTTATAATGTGCAGTTATAATTACTTGAAATTTTTGTTATCTGTTTGAAATGTGGCGTCCTTGGACAAGTACTAATAGTAATTACGAATGTGATTACAACCCAGACTTTTTCCAGTGTAGTGATTCCAATAGCGATGGTGAACAATGCGAAAAAGAGATACCAGTGAATAAGATTCGGATGCATTTGAATATTGAAACACCGAGAGTATGTTTCAGTGTATATAAGAATCTACATGTCAAGTTTGGTTTCGAGGGAAACAAACTATAACAAGCAATATCAGATTTGACCGAAATTATTTTCTCAACTGTACGTGAAATAGTCAAAAACAAACCTTATGAACGCAAGACGCGTTGTAATACAGGATTACCAAAACCTTCAGATGTTCATCTAATAAAATCATTGAAAAAACAATATACGACTGTTACAAAAGTAATGAGATTCCTACATCTGAAATCATAAGGAAGAAATTGAATATACTTCCGGCCATAACGTGAGATGCTCTGACAGAATGCTTCAGATGCTTCAGAATTAAATAAAGAAACTAGAATTTAGATTCAAAATATATAAACGTCAAACAGTTATGGAAAGCAGAAGAATAGTGGAATTGCGTAAGAAATAGTTAGAACAAATAACTGAATATAGACAAGACCAATGGAAAATGTTCTATTTGGACGAAATTTTGTGTGACACTGACGACAAAGTTACGAAAGAGTGGACTGATGGTTCGAGAATGTGTACGCCTAACATGCCTGCAAACAATGGATCGCGACTAATCACTGTGCATTGCGATTATTAAATGGGAAGGGTTGGAAGGTGGGTTGCACTATATCGTTTACTTGAACTATACCACCCAAACTTCAAACCCATTTTCCAGTTCTTCATTTATTTCGTTCTTCTTCAATACATAATTTTCCAAATATCGTTTCGTTTCTCTAATGTTATTTTCTGTCAATATTTTCTGAATGTAAAAATTTCACCATCTTCGACTACGTATACATACATTATTATATGACTGTCAAGTTGACAAGTCATTAATTTTTCGGTGTGCAAATTTTGAAGAAATTTTCCAAAAAAACGATTGTTTCCGGTAGATGATCAGCCATTTACCAGTGGTTAATCTGTTGTGATACTTTAGTGCGTTGGTTATAGTGCGAAAGAACCGGTAAATTTTCGTTATGTGGACACCCGGCGATTTTAAAAAAAATTTTGACTGTACTTACGTATTTTGATGCGTAGATTACGAATCCGAAAAAAAAAGCGGCGCTCTCCCTTATCCCAGTCAGAAGTATCCCAAAAAGATACTTCTGACAGTGCCAGTCTCTCTGTACAACCAGTTTCAATACAGGTAGATATGAACAAGCCGCAAGAACCGGTTAATAAAAAACGACGACTTCCAGAGGAGTTTCCTCCTCTCCCTACCAAACCAGCCGCTCCGACTAACAAAAACACCGACACGAAGCTCAAAAGGGTAGTCAAAAAGACAAAACTTCGAGACGAAGCCAGGAATAGCGCTTCCGAGTCGGAACTTTCGACTACAGAATCTTCCATAGACGGAGAAACTGAGATGTCTGTCGACGAAAATGAAAACAAATCAGACATTTCAGTATCGACCATACACGGTGGCCCTAGACAGCCACAACAAAATCATGATCAGGTTGGAAACCAAAACACTCTTCATAAAATTAGCTACACAAAGGCGGTGAACCTGGCCGACGGCATCAAGGTCCAGCCTTCCACTATCGAGGACTATAGGAAAATGTCTAAACTCCTGGTGGGGGAAAAAATTCCTCACTACACTTACACCCTACCTGAAGACAGGCAAATCAGAGCTGTCTTCAGAGGAGTTCCAGAACACCTGGAAACCGCTGACATCGAGGATGCCTTGCTGGAGAAGGGTTTCCAGTCATCATCCGTCTCCAGGATGATGCGTGGAAATCGCCCACTTCTTCTGGTTCTGGTCCAACTGAGCCAAAACCAAAAACACATTTACGAAGAGAGAGAACTCCTTAACGTAAAAGTTAAGGTTGAACCCCAACATCAGAGGACACTAGTAGGGCGGTGCCATCGATGCCAGAGGTTCGGGCATAGCCAGAGGAACTACCTAGCCGTCCCCATATGTGTCAAGTGCGCCGCAGACACCTTTCAGGTGAATGCAAAAAACCTAAAACAGAACCTCCGAAATGCAGAACCTCCTGAGTTCCCCAAGGTTCGCAGGAGGACCAAGGTGGCCGCAAATGCCCCCCAAAATGCATCCACACCTGGGAGACGTCCTGCCGCAGTATCTGGCACGCGCCCGGGAATTAATTATGCAGGAGCGGCAACAACTCCGCCAAGCCGACTGAAGCGCCCAATCGTCCTGGTTTGTCGAAAGTTAGTGACATCTGTTCCGCTCTGGACCAGTTCCCCGTACTCGAAAAGATGTTTACGGTGAACACCAGCGTGATAACTGGAACCTGTTAATGGCTAGACAACTAACATTGCCTAGTTGTCTTTAGGTTGTATTTTGGAATGCCAATTGCATTTCAAATCAAAAACTCGATTATGAAAATTTCTTAATTACGCAGAACATCGATGTCGCACTTGTCCAGGAAACCCACCTGCACAATGAACTTTTTGGCATTCCAAATTACCGTTTCTACCACAGAGAACGAGTTGGACGTGCTGGAGGAGGAGTTGGCATTTTTGTCAAACGTAATCTTCCTCACGTACAATTCGATATTGATCCAGATCAGTTACACGGCACGGAAGCCGTGGGCGTTGAACTCCAACTGAGAAGAGGTCGTCATAAATTAATCTCAGTTTACAACCCTCCACGGAATCGTCTACTCCCAGAATCACTGGATGAACTGTTGTTGTCAAAAGATACCCCCACAATTGCTGCTGGTGACTTCAACGCCAAGCACAATCTGTGGGGCAGAATCACCAATGCGAACGGCCGAGCGCTCCATGCGCATGCTGACAAGCATGAGTATCGAGTGATGGGTTCAGGTGAGCCTACGTTCTACCGTGGGGATAACAGACCTGACGTGCTTGATATCGCACTACTCAGGAACATTTCCATGTCCTGCGAAGTGTACACTTTGTCGGAACTAGACTAAGATCATAATCCAGTCATCCTGATGCTGGGTGATGATCCCCTCCCCAGGACTATCGCATGAAATCATCCACGGATTGGGAAGCCTTCAAGACTCATCTAGTGGAGACACCTACAGACCGCGAGGCACTTCAAACTCGCAACGGTCTTGACGCGGCAGTGGCAGATTTCGAATTGTCTGTGAACAACGCTTTCCGCGCAGCCACAACCAGGACAGAGTGTCCTCTGCGAAGCTATAATGAGTTTCCTCCTAGGATGAAGAATCTTATCCGGGAGGGAAATCGACTCAGACGAGTTTATCAGCGGACTCTCTACCCTGGAGACAAGGCTGCTGCTAGCAGGATGGCCAACCAAGTCAAACAGGCCATCATTGACTACAGAAACGAGAGATGGAGTGAGTGTTTGGAATCTCTCGAATCTGGGGATGATGAGCTATGGCGAGTCACCCGCAGGCTCGAGAAGAGGAAAACTGTTCCCTCTCCTCTTCATGGACCGCGCGGTATCTGCTACTCCCCCGCCGAGAAGGCGTTGGCCTTTGCAGACACAATGGAGAATCAGTTCCAACTTAACGTTGATCCGGATGATGATATTGACCGTGATATCCGGCTGTAACAACGAGTTCGGCGAATCTTTATGGAAAGTAATGACGACGTGATCCATCCAGCTTCGGAGGAAGAACTGAGGGGGTACATTAGGGCCTCCAAACCCAAGAAGGCTCCGGGAATTGATTCAATCAACAATAGGTTGCTGAAGCAGCTCCCGGAGAACTTTATCAGATACCTATTGGACATAATAAATAGCTCAATCGCCCTCAGATACTTCCCCCGAAGATGGAAGCATGCTGTAGTTGTCATGATTCCGAAACAGGGCCAGAATCCGCTTTTTCACCAGAATCATCGTCCAATTAGCTGGCTGAACGTGTTGTGCTGCAAAGGCTAACCGAAGAAGTTGAAGACCGAAATGTTCTGCCTGATGAACAATTCGGTTTCAGGAGGGCACACTCCACCGAGCTACAGGCCTTGAGACTGGTCGAAAACTCCATCTCAGAGCTTAATAATAGGAAGACAGTCCATCTTGTCCTCCTGGACATTTCAAAAGCCTTCGACCGATCATGGCCCGAAGGCTTATTACATAAAATGCTCGATTTCGACCTGCCTTGGGGCCTGATCCGGTGGATTAGGTCCTTTCTGAAAGGCAGAACATTTCAGGTCCGAGTTGAAGGAACCGTTTCTCCTGTCAGGGAAATCCAAGCTGGAGTGCCTCAAGGAGCTATGCTGTCTCCTCTACTGTACAGCCTTTACGTGAGCGATCTTCCAAGGTTCGATCACGTGAAGGTTTCCCTATACGCCGATGATACGGCTCTCCTCGCTTCTTCCATGGGTCGGGGGGTTGGCGGTCGTCTACATGCAACGTGCATTGGACGACCTCGAACGCTGGTACCTGGAATGGAAGTTTCGGGTGAACCCAGGAAAAACTCAGGCTATAGATTTGGGGGGGCGTAACGTTTCTCCAAATACAAGAGTCACGATTTCAGGCAGGGAGATCGGATGGCAAAAGCGAGTCAAATACCTAGGTCTTTGGGTAGACCGCCGACTATATTAAGAACAGTGTACAAATGAGGATAGACAAACTCTATCCTCTCATCAATCGAAACTCTAAGCTCAGTTTTAGAAATAAGATTTTATTATACACGATGTTCAAGCCTGTCATTATGTATGCTTCAGGCGCTTGGGGACAAACCGCTCCGTCAAACCTCTCCACTTTGGAAAGGTTGCAAAATAAACTTCTCAGGATGCTGGTGAATGCTTCATGGTTTGTGCGGAATGAAGCTATCCGCAGAGATTTGAAGCTGTTAACTATACGGCAGTTCATTCAGTCGAGGAATCAGAGAGTTTTCGAGTCAGCGGAAACTCATGATAACCTACTAGTCAGGGAAGCTGTAGATTACACTATAGACGACCCCACTCGATTCAGAAGGTCCCGTTGCTCGGTTGAGTGAAGGCCCCACGAGTTCTGTTAAAATGAACAGTTTGTTCATCAAATACCCCAGTCAAGAAGGGGTACACAAGGCCAGAACAGCATAGATGTCATTGACCTTTATGCCGCCACCAACACACCCTACATCATGAACCACTCGTCCTCCTGACGAAAGACAGTTAAAAGGGTAAGGGAAAAGTTTCCAACCTGATAAAAATGAAGATGACTATCGACCATCTTCGACTTGTGTTCCTGTCATCCTGTCAGCTTCACTTTCAAACGTTGCAGTCAGTAAGGTAACGATCTTGACTTGTCTCACTGAAACGACAGGACCGGCATCTGATCACAGATTCACGAATGATACCATTTTTTCAGAAGTTTTCAAATAATATCAAGTAATGTGAGTTTTCAAGTTTCTGGAACACGATAAGTGTTCGTTTAACCCTCCTGTTAAGAAAACGAAAAAACTTCATCACACATGGCTTTTCAAACGGTTTTATTTAGCTTGCCCTGTTTGTTTGGGTTAAATTTAGTAATTGAAGTTTGACCCCCCTTGTGTTGACAGATTGATCTGATATTCGATACACACATTCAGTTTTTATTACAATACAATTTAATATATTCTGTATAGTTGTGAATGCAAGATGGCCGCAGTAACAAAATGGGTATCCAATGACATGACTTGATTAGTAGAACAGTAGTACTCTTTGAAATATTGACGTATCAGAAGGATTGGTAAATGGCGCTTTTTATTCAGCTTGCTTTTTTTGTTTGGATCAAATTTAGTAATTGAAGATAGACCCCCCTTCCTGTTGATAGATTTTCTGATATTTGGTACACACATTCAGTTTTGATGACAATACAATTTAATGAATTCTGTATAATTGTGAATCCAAGATGGCCGCAGTTACAAAATGGCGGATTATTTCACAACTACCTCATTATGGGTATCAGATTACAGGGTTTGACTAGTAGAATAGTAGAACACTTTGAAAAATTGACGTGTTGAAATGATTAGTAAACGGCTCTATCGGCTACATTGCAGAAATTGTTCGGCCTCAGTTTCGTCGAACTCAAATGTACGAAACAGATGTCCCGTCATAGTCTAATCAACAAGTTCAAAAACATGAAAAATAGAGATAAAGGTCCTAAAAATATGAGCGACGGCTCATTTGATTCGAAATCACATCTGGAAAAATGTTTTTGAAGCATTTTGGTGTAGGTAAAAATTGCAATTGTTATCAACAAAATGAGATTTAAAAAAATGGTATTTACTTTTTCGTTAATAACTCAAAAAATATTAATATTTAAGCAATTTTGAAAAAAGCTCGTTAAAGAGGAGAAAATTTCCGATAAAAAAGTTTCAACTCCCGAAACTCTATCTCCATTATTTATAATTTTAATTTGACGCGCTGCCGCTGAAGAGAGCTTATCAAAAGAAATAATTTTTTATAACATAAAATGTCATTTTAAAAATTTGAAAAAATCTAGTATTTCCTTAACACTTGAATGAATCGAGTCCCGTAGAAAAAAAAGTTTTATCACCATTTTTCAAAAAGTTATTCAATTTATAATTTTTTTCTGCTTCAGAAAAAAAATATAACGTTGGTCAATATTTGTTCGTAACAAATTGTTAAACGAATAAACAATTGGATAATGGATAAAAAAATCCTGCTAGTGAATACTATTTTTTAAATCTTATTTTGTTAATAACAATTGCAATTTTTTACCTGCGCCAAAATCCTTCAAAAACATTTCTCTGGAGGTGATTCCGAATCGAATGAGCTATCGCTTATATTTTTAGGACCTTCATCTCTATTTTTCATGTTTTGAACTTGTTGATTAGACTATCAGTTCAGAACAACTTTGGAAAAAACAGCGTACATTTTATCCACCCTAAGGCCTTACAGTTTTCAGCAAAGTTCAAATATAAGACGATTAAAAGAAATATGTTACCCTTAATTTTGTCATAGGCTTCTACTGTCCACAAAATGCAAGGCAGTACTGTAAACCATGCAGTTGTGTATTTAGGCTCGAAATTATTTGGAGAAGAACAAGCATACGTAGCCCTGAGTCGAGTAAAGTTTTTGGAAGGTTTATGTATTGAGGAGTTAGATTGCAACAAATTGTCGGGAAATAAACATTGTTTATGTTTATGTTCAACGATTTCATTGAAAAAAGAAAGATGAATTTTATTGAAAGAAAGATAATAATGATGATGAGATGAGATGAGACAATATACTAAAAGCTAAAAAATTATTATACACTGAACCCTTATCTGTTTAAAATTTGTTTTTCTGTTAATCAGCTTATGTTGATAACCTCCAAATTTGTAGGATGAAATTAATCATCATATCTCTTGAACCTGATATTTAAGTGACGGACATTTTAGGGCTGTATGCCCTAAAAGTTTTGGCTATATATCCTAAAATACCACAATTGAAACAGGTGAAACCGCTTTTGGTTTTTTCTCATTTCAATCTTGACAAATAGAACTTTCAAATGGAGGAGCGATAACTAGTACTTGGGACCTCATACCAGAACAAAAAGTATGGAAACGCTCGAGGAAGCTATTGTACAGCTAAACAGGCGTTGCAGTTTTGTAAATTGTACACTGTCAATCTTACAATAAAGTGTTATTTGAATAAGTTACTGTTTCTTCAATTATCGGCCAATTCCATCACATATCTTCGAATCCATGTCCAAAATTCAAATTCAGGATTTTAAAAAATGTTTCAATACTTGTAACTTGAAGTGCTGAGAGAGAACATTACCATTCAACAACATAAGGTCCCTAGAAATATTGAATTCATGCTTAGATTTTTTTTTCAGTGTCCCATTTACAGTTTTCCCCAAATGATGGGAATGGGTATGGGAGGAATGGGACAGGACCAACAAAGTCAGATGTCTGAAATGGGAACAGCAATGGGTTTGAACATAGGTTTGGGATTGAGTGGTGGAAATTATGAAAGATCCTCTCAAATGGGCCACAGAAGAATGAACAGAAGGCGTTCATTGGAAAAAGCAGACAATCCTGGATGTTACGGAAGAAGACAGTCTTTTCCTACAGGTAAAATAATGGAATGATTTTTATAAAACTCAGTTACAAATATTTTTTATCATTTCGAAGTTTCCCAAATCATGGAAAGCTTTTTAAGTAGAAGTTTCATTAACCAATAGCAGTAAGAAACTGACAGCTGAGTGAATCAGTTTCTTCATCAACAGATATAAATATATTCTTGAATATTTATATTTTATAACAAAAACAAAACAGAACTAAGCAGCTTGACCAATATAACATGTAGTTATAGTAGTTATAGACTGGCATGAGTGGCCGAAATCTCTCCACAAGCATGGAATAAGGCTGGGCAAGCTGTCAGCGGGAATAGGTAAAGTCGAGGGTTCATGCCGTATTGTGGCTGGGGCCCGACGGTCAAGTGTGGCAGGGTGTCGTGTTGATAGCAGTAGCTCTCGAATCAATCCATGGGAGAAAATGTTATCATTGGTTCAACTACCATTGAGTGCAAGCAATCTACATGTCTAGTTTCAGTCCTTATATCTTCCCGTCACTCTTGCCAGCATCAGTCCTATATTCACCTACTCCTAGCTACGAAACTTCTCGTCTTGATCATATTTCTACACTTCGAAGTTGTTAGAGTTCCAATTTGCATTATCTTGGTCCTCTTGGTGAATGCTTCACTATGATCAATTTGGATGGGTTTATATCGTTTACAATTCATTCATATTGAAATTATCTTGCCAAAAAAATTATAACCTCCTGAATTATTTCACAAAACATTCATTCAAAATAATAATGATATTTTCTGCAAAACATATATCATGATCTTTTAAGAGAATTACCGTTTGCAAAAGTTCGATTCTCAATTCATAATGATTTATTTTTCCAAAGTTACCATGGATATAAATGTGAAAATACCTATATTTTTTCATGTGATTGCTCGATTCTAAAAGAAAAATATGGAAAAAAATCACAGTGCAAAACAACCATATTGAACTACGCATATAACGTTTTCAAAAGTAATGAGATGATTCTATAAAATCGTGAACGAAAAATGTTTTGATAAATGTTAGGACAGGCCAGTTTTTGTTTTCAAATTGTCCCTTCGGCATGTAACTCAGTAGGGTAATTGTCAATACCTATCTCTGATATCCATCAAACATTCTGATATGGATAAAAGTATATTCAATATGAGTAAATAATCTATCATTCAAAACGGAAAGGGATATATTTTTAGGAGGAAGGTTTTGGCTGTCTATTTATCCACCAAAAATGTGAGATACTTCTCAATTGAGTTCGAAATGAACTCCACGAAAGTGTGTAGATTATGCATAGAATTACTTTCAGAAATTAACTCGACGAGAAAGCCCTCCTGAAACAACTACTTCCACAACTACTTTATGCGAAAATCACTGTTTTCTATTCAGCTTGTACTCTAAACATTCGTTATGGAATTGAATCAGACATCAGTTATAAGAACGCTTTAAGTTTGTATCTGAAAGTAACTTCTATGCATGATCTTTGTAAAGAGTTTATTTGAAACTAAATTGCTTTCTTTCTTCCTTCAGAAAATTTTCATCATATATATTTCATATGGAGAAATATAAAACCAAGAACCTTTCTTTCCTATCACTACTGGATTCATGGATGTTTATCCAAATAATTTTTGGTATAAGTCACTGCACTGTCCCAAAAAACTTATCCGACCCGCCATAGGTCTCATCACTGGTGCTAGGCTGAACCACAAATGCGTGACTGGGCTCAACTGTCCTTAAAGGACAAGCCTGAGTAAGTTAGGTCGATGACATGCTCCCTGCCTTCCACTGTAGATTTCAATACAAAGCAACTAGTGGAAAATTAGAGCCAAAATGAAACGTATTTATGCAACGCCTACTAGCTGCCTTGCAGTGGAAGACAAGACAACGAATCTCGTTGACGGTCGATGTCGAAGCTTGCAAATGAGCGCATCGGGTAGCCTCGAGTTTCTTTGATATTCGAGGATTGACTTCTCTGTCGGTCCCATAGATGGCGTCTTTCAACCTAACACAGATTTTATCAGTGGTGTTAGGCTAAACTATAATAAGACTTTATTGTCCGAAGAAAATATCTTGTTGACAAAGCTAGTAAGTAAGTATAAAATAAAAAACATAAATGTCCTATGAATATAAAAATATAAACAAAATATAGTGTACACTAAACCAAAGTATACAAAACACTGAATGAAAACAACAAACAATGGTTGAAACAAATACACACATAAAACACGCAGGTTATGGAACTTAGTCAAACTATAATAGGGTTCACTACTCAAAAATTCATTGAATATTTTCTTGTATTGATTGGGTTGATATTTGTCTCTTCAGATTATTTAAAAACTTGTCAAGAGTATAGAAACATCTTTCTAACAGAAATGATTTCATTTTTTTTTCAAGCAACGAAAGGCTGCATATTGACTTCAATTTATTTGGTAAACAGTTGTAAATTTTGGTCCCTTCACATTTTGGTGCACTTTGAGTTATCTTATACTTAGCCGATCTAACGTGTATCATTTGCTTCTGCCGAGTGTTTTTATTATGAATATCGCTATTGAGATTGAAGCCATTCCGGTTAGTAAAAACATAAACTGACAACTCATAAATATATAATCCAACCAGAGTTAAAATTTCGTGTGTAGCGAAAATGTTTCTGCATGAATGCTGTCAAGGAACATTGAACAAACAGCGTAGGATAGATTTTTTTTGAATAAGTACATTTTTACTCTTTGCAGAGTTGCCCCACAAACATACACCATAGCGCAACCTGGATTCGACCTGGGTATGATTTGTTACTTTGCAAACTCAAAATATCAGATGAAAGTTATCAAAACAGTATTTACTTGTGATGCACAGTTTGGATCGTGTGGTGTAGTATTAATATTACTGGAGTTTTTTCCCCAACACCAAACCGTTATTTCAACACCTCGACACGTGTTTCGAACACCAAGTGATCATCTTCAACAGCTGGTTAACAGAAAAAACAGATTGTTTTTTTCAAAGAGGAAATTTGATCTTCCTCATGAAGATGATCACTTGGAGATCGAAACACGTGTCGACGTGTTAAAATACCGGTTTGGTGTTGGGAAAAAACTCCAGCAAAACAGCCTTTAATTTCCAAGTTATCATCCAGATTACAAATTTGTCGGCTATACATAAATTAATAATGTTTTCTTTTTAGCTGCTACTACTACCACTACCTCTACCACAACTGAGAGCATAGATCCCAGAGAATCGTAACTAATTCACAATTGCAACTGAATTATTCTTTTTGACAGTGGAATATTGTTTCTAAAAGTGATTCGTTATGTTTGATTGTAGAATACTCCGAGAAATGTTCTCTATTCAATCAATTATTTCTGTTGATTTTTATTATGTTATTATGTTATAAATATATGACATCACCATGACTTTTTCTAGTTATTTTTATGTATTTTATGCTCAGCTCTTAAGGATTAGCTTGAGAAAATTGATTCCCAAACTCATTGGTGAATGTTTTCACAAGAAAGTGGTATGTTTTGAAACTAAATAAGTAAAATAATAACTTCAATACTAGTTACAATGATTATGGCAAAGTATAAATCAATAATATGAATCGATACAATATGTATGTTTCAGCTAACATGTATCAAATATGAATCACATTAACATACATAAAACAATGGTCTAGCAATATTTCATAGAATTATGAATTAAGTTTGAAATCAAGTCAAATCAAAATTGTGTGAAGATGGGCAACATTTGTTTGCCGAAAGCAGGAAACAGAAAGCAGGAAACAGAAGATGTTCGGAAGTCATCTGACCCTACTTCCGAACACTTAACAATAATGGCCAGATCATGACAAATGTGATTTTGTCGAAACGTTGCGAAATTCATTCCCATCGGGGATGACAATACACCACATGGAATAAACCCGAAGAATAATTTCAACATATTCCTGTCCGTGAAAACCTTCGATTAACATTTCAAAACCTTTACGGGGAGATGAGGTCATATCAAGAAGAAGAAGAATTGAGGTACCAAAACATACAGGTACCAAACTCAGGTAATTGAAAACGGTATTTATGGAACGACAACATTGTACCTGCACAGTAAGAAGTCATCCGAGTAGGATCAGATGACTTCCGAACATATATGTATATCTTATATCTTGAATAAGACCCCAGCCAATGCATGGAGAACTTGCCTTATCAAAGCGCCTGACGTTCGCTTTTCTCAGGTCGAGTGGGCTGAAGTCGGAAACTGAGGGGTTCATCAAGGCTTGTCAGGATGGTGTCTTCAACACCTCAGTCTACCGCTGTCGCGTGATGGGTATCGAGGTTCCTGACACAAGGTGCAGGGCCTGCCGCGAGATGCCTGAGACCCTAATGCACTTGCTATCAGCATGTCCAGCATATGCGGTCTCGGCCTATATCAATCGACATAATGCGTCAGAAAAGAGGAGGAAAAACGGATGAAGTATCGAGATTTTCTCTTCGAACTTCGCCGACTCTATCCAGATCACTCTGTCAAGATGGTTGTTCTGATTATTGGAGTCCTTGGTGGAATTATGTCCTCTCTACTCTCGAATCTTAAAATCATACCGGCTTGCCGCACTAAGGCAGAAATCTTAGCCGCACAGATGCAGAAGGCTGTCATTCTTTGCTCACTGCGCTTGCTCAGGGAACATGATTCTCGGACCCAATGATACTTACCACGGTGTGGGGAGTGATCATTTGTTTCTAATGCTGGCGCGCCCTCCCGAATGTATCGGGGCTTCGTGGGATAGGGCTTGACCAGCGCACACTACGGTAAAAAAAATATGTATTTTAAATAGGCATCCTAGTGTACAAAAACATTTTAAAATTGGATAGACAAAGTCACAGTCCAACTTCATAAGACTGAAATATGTATGCTCGGAATTATCCAAGCTTTCAATAAATAGAAGAAATAACAATGTAAATTACACTTACCAGATATATATGTTATTATAATATCAATGTTAATGTGGATGTTGTGTCTTCAAATGACTAGTAAGTCCTTTTTTGAATGTCATAATGGATTCACTTTGTTTTATCTCAAGCGGGAGGTTATTGTAGTCCAATAGTCCATGTAATCCATGGAATGAGTTCATGGATCGTGGAGCTCAAACGTGGTACATGTAAATTAGAATTTCCCCACTGGGGTAATTATGAATTTGGTGATGGGAAACAATAAATTGGTCAAAATATGGAGGTGCATTACAAGCCAATATTTTGAAGATGAATACCATGGTAAGATAAAACAGACGGTCTTTCACAGAAAGTCAATTCCAACATTGTTGAAGTTGGCGTATATCTATTACATTTTAAAATTAGGCGCATGCCTCTTTTCTGTAGTTTTTGCAATGTAGACAAACAATTTGCATTAAGTTGTGATAACAAAATAGCTCTGTAATCGAAATGTGGTTGAATACAGAAAACTGTAATGGAAGTCTGAAACGGTAAGCAACTGTTTACACGGCCAAAGAAAAATAGTATTTTAGCAATTCTATTGCGGATATAATTGAAATGTTTTTTCATATTCAGTGTTTGATCCACGATAAACCCCAAATATTTGATATCCTCGACAATTTAAATTTTTTTATTGTAAATATTTATACTTATGGATGTTTTGTCAATTGAATTATGTTTATGTTTTGTTGTAATTATCATTGCTGTCGTTTTATTGACATTGAGCTTGAGTTCATTGATGTTGAGGAATTCAGATATTTGATCATATCATTAATTTCATTGATAGCTGTTTGTAATTCAGGTTCACTCACTGCAATCAGAGTATCATCTGCAAATAGGTTGATGAATTCACATCCACTAATGGAGTTGATGTCATTAATGTAAAGAACGCACAGGAGCGGGCCCAAGACACTACTTTGAGGTACTCCATTATTGACGCCTTTTAAGTTTGAATATGACCCGTTAATTTTAGTCTTTTGTGTTCGACCAGAGAGGTAGCTTAAAGGAAACAGTTTCTAATCTTCCGTTAGCGAGTGATTATTTCATAACGGTGGGTGACTTCAATATCAATCGATAACTGATCCGATCTCTTTTATCAATTTTGTTCGATCTTTTACTTCATCCAGGTAATTACATCTCCTACTAGTGTTACAACTTGAGGTCAAACTTCAATTGATCTGATTGTTTCACACCCGGAAATAATTTCTAATGTGAATATTACTGATATTCAAAACATTTCTGATGATATTGCTATTTCTTGTACCATAGAAAAGTTCGGAACTATAAATAATAGCTCTGAAGAAAGGTTTGTTGAGTAACAGGATCAATTTTTTCTTAAAAAAAAACAATTGTTTATTTGCCAACGTTTCGAATTTGATTGAATTCTCCTTTCTGTTACCCATCAACCAACCTTTCTTCAAAAAAATTATTGGATCACTAAGTATAGCGATTTTTCAAATTATGGATTATTTTTTACCTGATCATACACATGTTGACTGGAATGAAATATTCGATCTGAGTACCGTTGAAGATATGGTAATAACATTCAATGATAAGTTTGAAAGTGATTGACAATGTTTCATGATGAATTTCATTAGTTCGGACTTTTATTGTCTAATATTATATTAAATGATTTGAAATCTCTTAAAGAAACAATATAAATCAGAAATAAAATTAATAGCTGAAAATATTAAGAAAAAAAAACTGAAAGTAAATTACAGTGAAATGAAATACAAGTAAAAAATGGAATAATTGAATAAAAATTAAAAACAAAAATATTGAGTGATTCCAAGCCAAGTTACTTCATGACGTTTCGATTGTTAGTATCCATAATCGTCTTCAAGGTGATGACTGGACTAATTCCTCCGAGAGATGACTACTTATGGGTCATTCGAATACTTTCACTCATCTCATTTTTCCTTTTTCCGCTTCACCGGTTCAGCGGGAGATGACCGTTTGGGGGAGTTGGCCCTTTTTCGCTTGATTATGGGCTTCCATAATTATACTTGAACATGGGGTCAAACCCGAAACCGGTCCTATAAATAAAATCAACTACTGTTAATTAGACGAAAGTGTTTTGATTAATTTCATTAAAGTGATCATGAATTAACACAAAATAAACAAGTCACATGCATCTTCCGCGTCACTTCTTTGTAAGATAAAGTCTGCGTCACGTCTTTACCCCACTTTGTCTCCACAAAAAGGCAGAAAATTATGATTCTGATAAATTGCAAAAGATTTCTGTTTAGGTATCTTAAAACTTAAAAATTGGAAATGAATATAAGATATACATATTATAAGTACTATTCTTTTTTATTCCATGACTAAATACAAAAGTCATTTCATAACATTGTACTAAGGAAGGACATTTCAAACCCAAACGCTTGATAATTCTTACTTCCAAAGTTCATATAATTACCTATAAAGGAAATCAGTTCCAACACCTTTACTAATTTTTTTCGCTTATTCAAAAGCAGCTGTTGCAACACCTATTCCCTAATTTTAGAGAATATGAATATTCTTAAGATGAAAGTGAAAGTGTATTGTGTGACACCCACCGGTTGAGTATCCTATGCCATTTCTACATAATGATGGTTGAAACTAAGGGATTTCAATCGTGGTAGTAGCCTTTTCACTTCTGACATTTCAACACAGAACTGTTCCGCTTTAATTTTTTTCGAAATTTTGTAGTTTAGTAAGTTTGTCTGGAGGCATTGAGTACTGGAAGTTCATTTAAATTTCACTGTAATAATTGATCTCATAACGAATATTTTTTCACCTGAATGAGTTGTTATGTAACGTTTTCTGATAATACACTTTCATGGCATCTGAACAGGTCCTTTTAAATATTGTCATAAGCCATATGCTTAGGTGATCCTTCAAGTAAAATGCTAATATTTTGTTCGAATATTCCATCGAGTACCTTCAGTTCTTTTACTTTCTTCAACGTTTCACAGTTACTGCTTCTGAAATGAAGAAGTTTGGTTACTCAAATATATTATAGAAGGAATGAGAAATATCGAAAAATGAAAGCTAAAAAGTCTTTCGTGAGAAATTCAGTTGTTTTAGTAACAACTGTCATCAAATGTTTCTGTGGAAGGTTTTTACTAGAACGTTATTTCCGAATATTTTTTTGAATATTCCATCGAGTACCTTCAACTCTTTTACTTTCTTCAACCTTTCACAGTTACTGCTTCTGAAATGAAGATGTTTGGTTACTCGAATATATCATTGAAGGAATGATTCTACATTGAGAAATATCAAAAGATAAAAGCTACAATGTATTTCGTGAGACATTCAGTTGTTTTAGTAACAACTGTCGTCAAATGTTTCTGTGGAAGGTTTTTACCTGAAGGTTATTTCTGAAGTTAAAATCATAAATTCATTAAAATGACGGCAAGTCTTTATAAATTGAAAAATATGCTATCATCAA